AAAAAAAAAAAAAAAAAAAAAAAGATTCCTGATATTACAGAGTCACTCGGGAGTCACCTTCTCAAACTCAAGCAAAGGAGCTCCAATTTGTCCCCACTACCCCTGGCCATTCTGACTGGCTCAACAATGTCCACTGGGCAGCTACCCTAAAGCAGGCGAGGCTGTACATGCTACGAATGTGGCTGTGAAGAAGAGGAGCCAGCCCTACTACCCAGAGCTGCCAGGCAAAGAGGGAAGATGGGCTTTAAACCAGCAATTACACAAATGTGTAACTAAGCACAACTATGTCGTGCTGTGAGGCAGGAGCAGAGGGACTATGGATGCGTGCAATCAAATAATCTGACACTCAGCCCATTCCAGAGTAATGACAGGGTATGAAGGCCAATGAGGGCCAGGCCACGTCCATAGACAGGAAGATCTGGGGAAATGAGTATAAAGCATTCACTGCATTTCAGCAACAAACCTAATTACTGTTCTTTAAAAACAGTGGAAGACAGAACAGGCCAAAACACCTACAAACCTTTACTTGATATTTCATGTCTTCAAGGACTGAGATAGCCACAACCCAAATGTTGTGGCTATTTCCAATTCTTTAAAAACCACCCAACAATATGCCACATTTTAACTAACAAATCTTTCTCCAAAAAGCACTGAAAAAGTGTCGCTGTTAAAAATATCTGCAGCAATAACAAGTGGGAAGGAGGTCCTGTTGCCATGGGGGCTTGTGGGGGACTGAGCTGCCCCTCAAGAGCTTGCTGTGGCAGGGCTCCCCCCACCCCCACCCTGGAGGCAGGGATGTAGGAACTGCTCAGTCATGATTCAGTGTTTCTTTTTTATTTGCAACTGTTTCTTTGCTGCACTCACTGTTAGCTGAATGGGCCCTGGGCTCAAGGGTAAATGGCCAGGCTTGAATAACTTGTGAACTGAGTCAAGGCTGGGGGTCTTGGAAAGATTACTTCTAGGAGCTGGAATCTCCATTTTCATCATCTCCCTTCTAAAGCCTCCTTTCCTGGCTGAACCCTTTCATAACAACTCCACGAAGGGACCCAGATAACAAAACAGAGGCAGGCACAACAGAGTTAAATAACTTGACAGAGGTCACAGTTACTAATTAGCAAATCCCAGATTCAAACCCCAAATCTGGATGTGACTCCAAAGCCGCAAATCTTGGCTTCTCCAAGTACAGACCAGGAGGCAGACCACTAGCATGAGCATCACCTGGAGACTCAGGTCCTAATCCAGACCTCCTGAATCGGAATCTGAATTTTAACATGATCCCTGGGTGAGTCATAAGCACATAAAAGTTTGAGAAGTGCTGCTCTAAACCGCAATGCTAGACTGTGATAGAAACTGCTGGGGCAGCTCAGCACGAAGGAAGACAGAGTCTATTCATCGGAGGACTTGAGAGCAGGGAGCAGGCAGATCACAGGTAGAACGGACTTCATTCAGACCTCAGACTTCACACCAGCATCTCCTCCTCTCAACTCCCCACTGCTGGCCACACTCCCAGCACTGTTTGGAGGTCGGCAGTGTGCCTTACACCCAACAGGCATTTTGTTGTTTGTTTGTTTGTTTTTAATTAATAAACTTTATTTTCAGAGCAGTTTTAGGTTCACAGCAAAATTGAGCGGAAAGTACAGAGTGTTCCCAAATACCCGAGAGCATTCCCAAATACCGAGTCCCCACACGCACATCTTCCCCCACCATCAACATCTCCCACCAGAGTGGTGGATTTGTTGCCATCTATGACCCCACACTGACTCATCATCATCACCCAAAGTCCAGAGTTTACATCAGAGTTCACTTTTCCAACAGGCTTATAACTCCTGAGACAGAATATCTAGCTATTAAGGGGAAAACTGGGCATGGCTGGCCCCTAGCACCAAATGCCCCATCTGAATTCCATGCCTCCGAGTCTGACCACAGCCTGGGCTGACCACATGCTCTCTACTCTCAGCTTCCTCGACTGTGCACTGTTCTTGGGCTGGCCCGTTTGTTTCCCTTTGGGATGGAGTTCAAGAGGCCAGAGCCAGAAGGGTCACAGTTCTGAAGGACGGCGCAGTGGACAGAGGAGAGGAATAGTGAATTAGGGGCACAAAACTGCCTCCTCTCCCGCCAAAAGCCAGGTCCAGATCCATGGCAACCACAGCTTCCTGTTCCTGCAGCTACGCCACATCTCTAAGAGCCCTGGTCCCCACAGGATGCTGGAGCTCCCAGGACACAGTCTTGACTCCCCCCTTCCCTCTGCCCACCCTTGACCCCAGAACTGTCCTCGGACCAACCTCTCTAGGACTTGGAAGCAGTCATGAAATGGAAGCACAGTCTAGGAAATTAGAGGCCAACAGAGTAACTGGGCCCTGCCTGGCCTCTGAGCAGACGGCCAGGATGGACAGTCCCTCTGCCTGCCTCCATTCTGAGCTGAGGGCAGATGGTGAAAGGAAAGGGCTACCAAACGAAGTGAAGTCTAAGAGGTCAAAAAGTATGTATTTAATTCTAGAAATACATAAAAAGAAGGCTAGAGCTTTTTTCAGATAGAATCCTATTTTTGTCCTTCCTGTTCATTTCTAAATTGTCTTCATTATACCCTGACCCATCTGTGGTCAACCCGCCCACATGGTGGATGATGTGGACATGGCATGGTTCTGCCTCCTGCATCATCGACTCCGGCCACTGGTCTCCTGCCTACATGAGGACTTATCATTGCTATACCAGTTGGTCATAAGGAACATAAAGGAAAGGACGTTACCCTTCTCAGATATTGCGATACAGGACTGGAACATCAAAATGCTTCTGGGCTTATGGGTGGCTTTAGTCACGCACATGCTTTTTCTTCCTGTTCTGGAACTTCTAAGTCAGAGATCACAAGCTTGCAAGGCCTACTGGGCCAAGGTAGGCAATGCAAATGTGAGCTCATAGTGGGTCACAGGGATGGTGGCCAGCGGGCTGAGGGGGCAGCCACCATTCCCCACAGCTCCTTCTAGACATGCAAGGTGGGGGCTCAGCAGAGTGAAGCCTTCTGATTGGAAAGGCAGGGGAATAGATTTTTTTTTCAAAATGTGAAATCTCGTTTTTAAATATTGGCAAATAATAAAAATATTTTTAGACTACTGAGCCAGCCAACAAAAACATGCCTGTATCTGTGACTGCTGTTCTAGGTGTTTCTCTCTGTGGGCCCTCTCCTACCCAAGGCAACACGTCAGTCCCCACTGTGCTGTTTTCAGGTGACCACCTAGGTGCTCCTCTAGTTCTGAGGCCAGGAACCCACCAGCTGAGAGGTGCTGGCTCTGCAGAACAACACACTGCACCAGGCAGAGCTGATCGCCACCAGCCATGCCAATCTGCTTCGGGTGTAATCCAAGCTGCTGACTACCATCAACAAAGCCCTGCATGGCTGACATTCTGACTAACTCAGAGCTGCTCCTCTCCCAGTGGGATAGAGCAGGACCTCAGCTCTTCCACGACAGGGTTCACTTAGAGCATTCCAGCCCAAGACCTGGGAAGCCAGGGGCTGGGAAGCTCTGAAGGAAGTACTAGGCTTCAGCAAGTCACCTCACAGCCCTGACTGCCAACAGAGCAGAGCAGGCGGCCTCTGGGGCACGGTGGGAGCCCCAATATTTAGGCCATGCCTGAGGAGCACAGAACACGTGTTGTCTTTTGTGATGACTCAGGGCTTTCAGGGAAAACCTAGGAGATGCGCCCTGCTCTGCCTCAAGTCAACACTGGGGCTTCTGCTCAGACACTGCAGCCAGCACAGTTTCTGTCCCTTCTGCAAGGAGCACCAAATCAGGGCCAACGCTTTTGGCAAAGACGACTTCAGCTGAACAAAGTAAAACTGTGCCAGAGTGGGCTGAGGCAGGCAAACCTCCTCAGGCTTTAGCACAACCAACAATGTGCTCTTGTCCCCCCAGTCAGGGTGGGAGCAGGGAGAAATCCTCTTTTTTCTCCTTATCCATCTGAGTGGTTCCTGCCATCCCTTCTCTAGAAAAGCCAGGCGGGGGTGGGGGGAACGACAACGCGGGCAGCTTGTTTTCTTGGCTCTAGGGAATACAAATGGGAGCACCATGGAAACCCCTAAAGTGTGCAGGACACCGCAGCAGGAACAAAACTCTTTCAGGTCCACAAACAAAATCCTGATCCTTTCATGAACGCTGTGGATGGCCCTTGGTGAGGGATGCTGGCAGGCTAGGAGCCTGGAACCTCACACGCTGAGGACCCTGGACCTCAGCCCAAAGACAGAAGGAGAAAGGGAAGAAATAGCGTCTGAAACCTATTCTGATGCCTCACACCCCAGCCCTGAGACGCGCCGCAGTGATGCAGATACTCAGGTCTCTAAACTAGAATGCCCCAGAATTCTGAGACACAGCAGCTATCCTGCTCATGCAAAAACAGACACTAGGTAAAGGTCCATAGACAGAGGTGATCCCACACACAAAAGCAGTGGATGTCTGCTCTTCCTGCTTCTACAAAATACCCACAAAATGCTCTGTGTCCAGGCACTCACCGATGTTTGGATGTTTCAGAAGTCGACATATCCGAGCCTCACGTTCTAGTTTCTGGTGATCTAAAAGCAGAAGAGAAAAAACAAAAGCCATTAACCATCCACGCTCTTTGTGGTCACCTTGTTACTCATATTCTTTCAGTTCTTAGGTACCAACTATGCACTTGCGATGATTTGCTGAAGTAATGCAGCAAGTCATGGCAATCCTGGAGATGGTTTGTTTTCTTTTCATTTTAGGGTCTTACTCTGTCCCTCAGGCAGGAGTACAGTGGCATGATCACAGCCTCAAACTCCTGGGTTCAAGTGATCCTCCCACTTCAGCCCCCTAAATAGCTGGAACTATAGGCGCCAGCCACCAGGACTGGGCCAGATCGTTATCATGACCACCTTTTCCAGATGAGAAAATGACTCAAGAGGTTGCACATTTCAAGTCAGTGAGCAGGAGAGCTGGGATTTGAATTCAGGTCTTCAACTAAAACTCTGGTGCTCTTTCCACTACAACAGGGTTTCAGTGGCCCAGTGTCTAAAATCTCTTTCGTATTTTTGATTTTTGTGACGGAGTCTTATTCTGACACCCAGGCTGGAGTGCATTAGTGTGATCTCAGCTTAATGCAACCTCTGCCTCCCAGGTTCAAGTGATTCTCCTGCCTCAGCCTCCTGAGTAGCTGGGATTACAGGTACACACCATCACGTCTGGCTAATTTCTGTATTTTTAGTAGAGATGGGATTTCACCATGTTTGCCAGGTTGGTCTCAAACTCCTGACCTCAGGTGATCCACCCACCTCAGCCTCTCAAAATGCTGAGATTACAGGCTTGAGCCACTGCACCTGGCCCAGAAGCTCTTTCTTCTTAGGAATACTAATAATAGTTAAGTTATACTGAGCACCTAATATATACTTGGCACTGGCTAAGGGTTTTGCATATATTCTCTACATAGACAAGCCTGAAACATAATGATGCTGATAATAAAGACGTTGATGATCAAGATAACGATGACTTAAAAAAATAATAGCTAACATTTACTGTATTCAGAGCTTACTTCTACACCAGGCAGCTGCCTCTTTTAATTTATCCTCATAACACCTCTAGGATGTTGGCATTAGTATGATGCCCATTTTATAGAAAGAGAAACCAGGAAACAAATCCTGCCTCTCCCCAGGGTCTTCTTGGCCACCACTGCTGTGAGCTTTGACCTGTTCACATTCAGACCCTGGGATTACTCAGTTTTGGTGGAATAATCAGAAATCCATGAGTCCCCAGATCCAAGTGAGCTGCGTGGGTCAATTCCTTCCACAGGAAGGCAGAGCTCCAGTATGTGGGAAGAGAGGATGCTACTCACAGCACGGAGGCCTCACAGCCCTCCCCCACTGTCCTTCCCTCTTTCTACTTGCTGAAATCCTGCCAAAAGTCACCTCCTTCATGAAGTCTTCCCTGCTCCTCCCGGTAGACTGTGACTTCTCCCTCCTACTCCACCCCCGCAATTTCCCAATGCACTTCTCACGATTCTCACATCATATATTACATCAGTTATCTTTCAGTTGCAAGCTCTCCGAAGGGTGGGGGTACCTTTCCGGGTAGTGCTTTCTAGAGTTCTTTCTGTAAACAGGGGCTAAATAAGGGTTTACCAATAACAACAGAAGTAGTCATAACAATCGCTTACTAAGCAGTGACTACATGTCAGGCAGAGGCATGGATTACCATATTTCATACCTATGGGAAACTCTGTGAAATAGGGATCTGATTAGTTCCATTATATTACAAATGAAGAAACTGAGGTTTAAAAAGACAGAGTAACCTGCCTCAGGTAACACAGACAGGCAGTGATGCAGGTGGTCTGAGCCTAGAGCTCTCTTTCTCCACACCTGCGCTATGATGACTGGATAAAGAATGATGAGAATAAGGCCAGGCGCGGTGGCTCATGCCTGTAATCCCAGCACTTTGGGAGGCCGAGGTGGGCAGATCATGAGGTCAGGAGATTGAGACCATACTGGCCATGGTGAAACCCTATCTCTACTAAAATACAAAAAATTGGCCGGGCGTGGTGGTGTGTGCCTGTAGTCCCAGCTACTCAGGAGGCTGAGGCAGGGGAATCGCTTGAATTGGGGAGATGGAGGTTGCAGTGAGCCGAGATCATGCCACTCCCCTCCAGCTTGGTGAAAGAGCAAGACTCCATGTCAAAAAAAAAAAAAAAAAAAAAAAAAAGAATGGTGAGAACTGAGTCAAGACTCCAGGCTTTGGAGGGGGTCCAAAAGGAAGAGAGTCCAGTTCACCTGAATTCTCCAGGCCTGCACAAGTGCCTTCATATCCACAGCTGCCAAGCTCTTCCTATCTCCCTGCCTCTACCCTACACAGCAAAAAGCCTCTGTAAAGCTTCCTGCGGCCCTCCCAATGATCTCATCAGGGGAATGCTATGATTGTCCACATTTCTAGATGATGGAAGAAATGGAGGCCCAGGGAAGTTAAGTAACTTGCCCAAGATTCCACAGCAGGAAAGAGATAGAACTGGGATTCAAACCCAGGCCTGTCAGTTTGAGATAATGTAGGGATTGTGGACTAGAAGAAATTCACATTTATTGTTTCACTAACCAAACCCAGCTTTGTCTCAAACTTTCCCTCTAGCAACAGCTCTACTTTGTGAAAGGAGGTGGGGACAGACAGAGATTAGTTCCTGCTGCCCAGCTAATCCGTCCCAGCTGCCAAAGATCTGGGTCAGGCCTTCCTTCCTGTCCCTGGGTTCAGCATGACCACTGACCAGGATGCAGCCAGGAGAACCCCAGGTAACCCCTAACTCCCAGATCACCTGGCATCCCTTGGTCTCAGGCACAGGATGTGGCCAGCAAACTCCAGAAGTGGGGCACTCAAGGAGGCTTCAAAAGCCTTGCCTGGTGGCTGGGGGGCTTGCTTATTCTAGATCTGGCAGGATGTTGACATGACCCCACCTTCCATCCCTGGACTTGAGATGGAGGTACCAAGCTAGCCAGCCCCAAAGTAACAGATCCATGGCCCTCTCTCTAGGCATGCACCTCTCCACCCTCCAGCCCATAACTCTCGGGCTTGGTTGCCTGGACAGGTGCAGGAGAACAGCATCTTGCAATGCGGAGGTGGCAGCTGAGGGAAAGCCCAGAAGATTAATGTTTATCTCCTTCCTTAAGTCTCTTACTAGCTAATGGTTACAGTCCCACAACAGCAACACACTAAAAATAAGGGCACTCTGGCTTTAGCAGTGACTTTGAGTGAAGAGGAGAGACACAGACTCAGGCTCTCAGCTCCTCGAAGGAGCTGCTCAGCGTCCAGAGGGTCCTCGTTAGCCTCTTAATTCAGCCTTAACTCCAAGGAGCTAAGCCCCATGTTCCCAGCAAGGCCCAGGTCTTCTCTGAACCCCAGGACTGTACCTTGGTCCTCATTCTGATTCTAAGCTGTGGAGTATGGCAATTAACAACTCATTGGTTTTAGAGTCAGACAGCCCTGGATTGAGCCCAACACTGCCACATCCGGCAAGCTATTAAACCCACCAGAGCTTCATTCATTCCTTCATGAAATATTTACTGTGGCTGGGCATGGTGGCTCACGCCTGAAATCCCAGCACTTTGGTAGGCCAAGATGGGTGGATCACTTGAGGTCAGGAGTTCAAGACCAACCTGGCCAACATGGCAAAATGCTGTCTCTAACAAAAATACAAAAATTAGGCAGATGTGCTTGAACCCAGGAGGTGGAGGCTGTAGTGAGCCAAGATCAGGCCACTGCATTCCAGTCTGGGTGATAGAGCGAGACTGCGTCTCAAAAAAAAAAAAGAAAGAAAGAAAGAAAGAAAGAAAGAAAGAAAGAAAGAAAGAAAGAAAGAAAGATTGATTTACTGAGGCCTACTATGTGACAGGCATTATTCGAGATGCTATGAAGACAGGTGAATAAAACAGACAAAAATCCCTGCCCTCATGGAGCTGACACTCTAGTGGGCTGCATGTGGGGAAAGGACAGACAATAAAAAAACTCAATGGCACATTAGATGTCATGGCAAGTACTGCGTAGAAAAACCAGAGAAAGGGGAAGTGTAGATTTATGTAGGGTGGTCCAGGAAAGCCTCAGTAAGGAGGTGACATTTGATTAGGATTCAAAGGAGGTGAGACAGTGAGCCACACATTATTTTGGAAGAGGTTCCTCACTTCTAAAACGGAGATAGCAAGATTTGAGGTTTAACTGAGGTGGTACAGGTTAAGAGTTTTGCATAAGGCCTGGCATATAGCTCCTTTCCAAGGGCCCAGTGAGAAGGTGGATAGGGTCTCCTGGGCTGGGCTTGTGGTCACAGATATCACCAGGGACACTGTGAATGGAACCCACAGTCCCCTGTACCCAGGCAGAATCAGGGTCTGCAACACAGCAACCGAGCCCTCCTGCCTGGCTTCTGGACTCCCCACATGGTCCTCGTTGCAGTCCTGGGGGTGGGGTATCCCCCTGTTTTGGTGGGGCCCACCTGTGTCTATAGTCTGCAGATGATGGGCAGCAACAGGGGCTCCTCAGAGAATGGGGACCACCACAGGAAGCGTCACTGCCCGCTTCCCTCCTCTTCCTCGCAGCCGTGGCATCCTGCCATCCACAAGCTCTCCTCAATGAGCAGAGCAATTTCTCCCTGCCATCATGTACCACCCGGCCACCACCCAGCCTCTCCAGTTGTTGTCTCCTGTCTCTTTGCCCCGCACTTCCTGTCCTGTAGTCAGTTCCAGGGCTGGACCACAGCTGGGAAAAAGCTGAGGGTCCACTCCAGTGGCAGCAACAGCGGAGGGGTTCCAGGATGGAGTAGTGGTTTCTAGAGCATCTTTGCCAACTGCAAGAGCATCCCAGCTGGAAGCAGCATCCCCAACCCCAAAAAGGGTGAGGCCAACTGAATGGACTTGGTCCATAGTGGGAGGGCCCTGGCTCGCCATCCCAAGGTGCCACAAAGGTAGCTGCCTCCCTTGAGATGCCCCCGCCTTCCAGTGACCACTAGGGAGCGGCTGGGACCTTTCGAAGTAGACCCTCCTCCAGCCACCTTTCTACCAGGCTCATCACCGCCCCTCCCACAGCCCAG